TCAGGTTTATAGTTAGGGCTGGCTCAGGTTTATAGTTAGGTCTATGTTTTCTCGAATTTGGCTGGGGACTTCATTCTGTACTCAGGTAGACTCCACTGTATCTTTACATAACTAATACATTTTGATGATATATGAATGCTCTGAATCCCTTATAATGCACCTATTGAGAATGCAGGCCAGTGGGCTCTGACTCATGCCCACATTATGTATTTACTCATGCCCACATTATGGGGATAGCAGTTCCCCTTACTTTATGGCATACATTAAATGATTGTTGTCAGAATGAAGAAAGAGCTGTAGCAATACTTGTATATCTAACTAAAATGATCCAATCAAATTATTAATAAAACTACAATATAGGTTTCCATTTCAGTGACATTTCTTAGGTAAACCACCCCTTGAAAGTGCTGCAAAATGTTACATTTAATAATCATGTTAATAAATAATAATAGTTATGTTGATTACATGCTAGAGAATGTTTGTGAGGGAAAAAAATTCCAAGAAATGACTAAGAAGAGGGAGTTTTTTTCATGCATGCTATTAGCAGACTAAAGAGTTGAAACTAACCTGTTGTCCTTGTCTCCATTCCAGAACACAGCGCTGTGTCCCTGCAGCTGGGACAGGAAGAGCTGCGAGTGGCTGTCACAGGACAAAACATACCTGAGGCAGGGGAAGCTGGGCTGCTGCATCTGCCTCACACACTGCATGGCCACCGGCCTCTGCGCGCACACGCACACACGCACACACACACGTTAAAAAAAAACAAAAAAAACAGTCAAACATATTAGTTGTTTTTTTTTAAAAAGGCAAGAACTACAGTTATTACACTTAATTATTGCTTCCTGTTGAGTAAAACCAGTTGTACTGCTAGTTGAAAACTGAAAGTTGATTGTGCCACGCTAACTTATGGAGTTAGTAGATACGATTACATTTATTTATTTAAAAGATGCTAAATTTGAAATTCAGAGTATTATTTTAGCAGCAAACAACATTTAGCTATGTAAAGCATAGTTAACTATAGTGGAGAAACGTCTACCTGAGCAGAGACTGAACTCTCACTCTCCTACCAGAGGTGGAGGCATGGAAGAGTAGCACCCTCAGGTTAACTCACTGTTAACTGCTGCCGTTGTTTGCACTGTTCGTGCTGTTAGCACCGTTAGCTTCTAACCGCTGGATAGATATGCTCTGAATTTTGAATTTAGCTCTGTGTATGTACTTCTAGGATTCTTTTTTTGTTATCTGCAAATAGTTTGGTCCTGTTGAGCATTGCAGATACACATGCTATCTCTCCGCTGTTGGCAGTCACTTCTACTTTACCTGCCAGTGAGGAGCTAAACTGGTGTATTGCATGGCAGGTTCACTGTTCACTGTCCTTCACAGGCTTCCCACCCGCCAAAATGACCAGTTCTAAAACTATGTCTTTGTGATGGCGGATGACAAGTTTTTCAGTATGTTTGTTCATAATGTCTTTCCATGGGTCTCCTTAACTACTAACTACCAGTACATTAGATCAGACTATTTCCTATAAAGCAGAGGAAACAGAGCAACTTCTGTGTTTTGACCAATCACTGCGTCGGCCAATTAAAATAGTCTGAACAAGGAGGGAGGCTCACCTTCTCAGGCTTGGTGTCCCAGCATTCAGTCAGCAGGCTGTGGAGGCAGTAGAACTGAACCTCCTCAGGACTGCCCAGCACTGGCCGGATGCCTTTGGAGAGCTTCTTCGCTATCTGGAGCTGGTGGTGACCCAGCACTGGCCTCCGTCCAGACAGCAGCTCATACAGCACCATACCATAGGAGAACATGTCCACCTTTAGAAAAAACAAGGAAGATCAGGTCAGGTTTCAGAGTCAGATCTGAGGTTATTAAGACCTCCAGTGTGTGGCTGGAGGTTATTCTATATCTTATTCCACAGCGCTTCTGGAGCTCATTGGTCTTATAACATTTTCTCACCAAATTAGCGCATATATATATATACACACATACATACACAGTTGTGTAAAAAAGTGTTTGCCCCCTTCCTGATTTCTTATTTTTTTGCATGTTTGTCACACTTAAATGTTTCAGATCATCAAACAAATTTAAATATTAGACAAAGATAACACAAGTAAACACAAAATGCAGTTTTTAAATGAAGGTTTTTATTATTAAGGGGGAAAAAAAGTACAAACCTACATGGCCCTGTGTGAAAAAGTGATTGCCCCCTAAACCTAATAACTGGTTGGGCCACCCTTAGCAGCAACAACTGCAATCAAGCGTTTGCGATAACTGGCAATGAGTCTTTTACAGCGCTGTAGAGGAATTTTGGCCCACTCATCTTTGCAGAATTGTTGTAATTCAGCCACATTGGAGGGTTTTCGAGCATGAACCGCCTTTTTAAGGTCATGCCACAGCATCTCAATTGGATTCAGGTCGGGACATTGACTAGGCCACTCCAAAGTCTTCATTTTGTTTTTCTTAAGCCATTCAGAGGTGGACTTGCTGGTGTGTTTTGGATCATTGTCCTGCTGCAGAACCCAAGTGCGCTTCAGCTTGAGGTCAGGAACAGATGGCCGGACATTCTCCTTCATGATTTTTTGGTAGACAGCAGAATTCATGGTTCCATTTACCACAGCAAGTCTTCCAGGTCCTGAAGCAGCAAAACAGCCCCAGGCCATCACACTACCACCACCATATTTTACTGTTGGTATGATGTTCCTTTTCTGAAATGTCGTGTTACTTTTACGCCAGATGTAATGGGACATACACCTTCCAAAAAGTTCAACTTTTGTCTCGTCAGTCCACAGAGTATTTTCCCAAAAGTCTTGGGGATCATCAAGATGTTTTCTGGCAAAACTGAGACGAGCCTTTATGTTCTTTTTGCTCAGCAGTGGTTTTCCTCTTGGAACTCTGCCATGCAGGCCATTTTTGCCCAGTCTCTTTCTTATGGTGGAGTCATGAACACTGACCTTAATTGAGGCAAGTGAGGCCTGCAGTTCTTTGGATGTTGTTCTGGGGTCTTTTGTGACCTCCTGGATGAGTCGTCGCTGCGCTCTTGGGGTAATTTTGGTCGGCCGGCCACTCCTGGGAAGGTTCACCACTGTTCCATGTTTTCGTCATTTGTGGATAATGGCTCTCACTGTGGTTCGCTGGAGTCCCAAAGCTTTAGAAATGGCTTTGTAACCTTTTCCAGACTGATAGATCTCAATTACTTTGTTTCTCATTTGTTCCTGAATTTCTTTGGATTGCAGCATGATGTCTAGCTTTTGAGGATCTTTTGGTCTACCTCACTTTGTCAGGCAGGTCCTGTTTAAGTGATTTCTTGATTGAGAACAGGTGTGGCAGTAATCAGGCCTGGGTGTGGCTAGAGAAATTGAACTCAGCTTTCCAAAGATGTGATAAACCACAGTTAATTTATGTTTTAACAGGGGGGGGGGCAATCACTTTTCACACAGGGCCATGTAAGTTTGGATTTTTTTTCCCCCTTAATAATAAAAACCTTCATTTAAAAACTGCATTTTGTGTTTACTTGTGTTATCTTTGTCTAATATTTAAATTTGTTTGATGATCTGAAACATTTAAGTGCGACAAACATGCAAAAAAATAAGAAATCAGGAAGGGGGCAAACACTTTTTCACACAACTGTATGTATTTTTTTTTAAACACTCGAAAACCTGCTAAAAGTTAGACTCATTTGAAGCTGTGAAGTTGCACCGGCCTCTATTTTTATTCCTGTTCAACTTCATGGACACGGCGGCACCAGAAGCAGAGTTAGGAACCAGAGACAATGTTACACTGGTTACTTCTTATTCTATATCTTATTCAGTCTCTTTCAAACTCTGTATCCAAAGTTGGTGACAGTTGAAGTAGTGGAAAGTCTAACTAACTAACAAAGACAGTTTTGATGAGTCTTATTTTGTGTCCGTCTAGAGTTTAAATGAAGTGTGATGTACAACAATCAGCGAGGTATTTGTATACCTGTTGTCTGACGGCAGTGTGGTGGCTTTGAACAGAGCGTATTATGTTTTGAAATAAATTATAGTCATTGTCAAAATCTCTGTTGAATTTGTTTCTGATATAATCACTTCAAATAGCATCGCACCGGATAAGGGGGCCAAATTGAGCGTGTCCATCCCGGTGTCATTCTCCATCACTGCTGATCAGAGCTGGAGCAGTGTCATTGGTCCAGGGAATGAATACTGATTGCAACCTTTCCCACTGAAGACAAAAGCCAGATGTGTCTCCGTCCAGTGGGAAAGGGACTTTATATACTCAGGATTCAGAGTGCCTTGGTTTCTTCTCCTTGTTTACAATTGACTCCAGCACATTTGTTAAGTGTTACTAAAAAAAACTAAACAGTTTTACTTTTGGTTTGTAAAGTAAAGGCGATCACCACTTCTTTGTTATCTAATCCTTGAAACCCATATCTGAGGACCAAAATACCCAAATGAATTCCTGTCTGAGTGGTCACAGATAACGGTGGGACGTCCCAGAATAACTGCAGAGGCAAACAGCACCGAACTACTTCTGTGGTGACATCACTTGGTAGTGGCTCCAGATATACTTGAGGTCTGTGGTATGCTATGGTGTCACAGGGGCTATGGCAAACATAGCATGGCATATTCATATAAGGAAGTCCTCCTGACCTCAATCTGACTAGTCTAGTTCTCACTCTTCATTATGTCCACAGTTTTTGTCCTTGCTAGAAAGACAAAGAGACTTGATCCTGTCATGCTGTAGTGCTTCAACCAAAATAACAAAGTCAAAATTAAACATACAAGTCATCACTATGAGGAACATGCATTTGATTAAGTTGTCATTTTACTAACCACGACTGTTTGGAACTGTTCTGGTCTAATTGTCCTTGGGTCCCTTTTTTTTCTGGTTCTGCTTAGTTATCAATGGGTCTGTTTCAGGTTGGGTCAAAAAGTTTGGACTTGATTTGTTGAAGTCACAGTGCCATGTCAGCCAATCATGAGTACACGCATTGACCAGCACTCAGTCAGTGTTGTGCTACAGTTGTGCTACAGTTTTTTGTCACTCAGTAGTAGTGATATTATCCAAGCCTATAAACAAATGGCTTGTAACAGCTTTCTAGTCATGTTACTGTATATTGTCCAGATGCTCAACCGACAAACACTTACACATGTTCATTTTCTTGCCAAGACACCCACAGCTGGCAAACACGGTAACAGCCATGAAGCTGCTCTTCTTCATTTATTTACCGACTACACTCTTCCTTTCCCACTCGCTCCATCATTTGTTCACTCTCCAGCCTAGTCTGCCTCTTATTAGAATAGTTAAACCTCGTTAAAAAGTGAGATTAACGGCCGGGAGAGAAGAAAAGGAGTTTGATTGGCTGAAGCCAGCAGATTCTATGGGAGAGGAGCTGATGGGCTTTTTTCTGCTCTTTGACCAATAAAACAGTAAACTCTAGTAAAGCTAGCTTCCCCGGGGAGAAGAGGGGCCTAGGCCAACCGTATCAGACCAACACCCTCTGTGGACTGAATGGAAGTCAGCAGAGAGAACACGTACTGGCTGAATTCAAACAAATTAGGTTCTCAGTCAAGTAGGCCTAGGGCAAGATCAATTGTGTATGTGCACAATAATTTGACTTTTTCCCAAAATTACACTAGCAAGACAATACACTACCCAAACTGTGTAACTGAGACAATCTGGTTCACAAGTGACATCCCAAAATACACAATTTAATTTCTTCAGTTATTTAAGTTATTAAAGATGTCTAATATCATCTGGTTCCCTCCTCTCCAATGAGAGGTTTTGCACTTTTTCTCTTTTTATATTATTGTAAACTGGATATCTTTGGATATGAACTGTTGGTTGGACAAAATATTACAATTGAAGACGTCTCCATGGGCAATTTTAATAGTGTAAATTCACAATTTTCTAGGTCTTTTATAGAGTGATTATTTAAAAAAGATCCACAGATTATTTGCTACACAGTTGTTATTCGCCTGGTTCCAGCCCTTTTCCTCACTGGGTTGAATATTGAAACTTGATAAAGAACTTTAATGCTACTGACTGGAATGTGTTTGTAGAGAATAAAAAAAACTGGAGTACTGAAAACTAGCACACGACTGTTCAGATATGTCAGGTGATTTTACACTATTTAAGAAAAGTTCTTACATGGCTGCTTGAGTTTACACAACCTTTTAACATTTGAGACCATTGGCTTTGTTTTGTAGAAAGTCATGTTTATATTCTACAAAGTAAGGTATTGACAATGGTAGACTGTAAAAAATAGCTTAAGATAAGATGTGATTCACTTGAAATTAGTTGACAAACTCTTGATGTTAAGGGTTAATCAATTTAACGTTAACAATAGACAAGTGTGAATTCATCCTTTATAGCTCCACAGGGCAAACATCACCATTACCAAGTGCTCCGCACAAGAGGCTGGTTGAGGAAACCTGTTAACGTAAAGATAGCTTTCTAACGTAAAGATAGCTTTCTAAAGTAAAGATAGCTTGTTAACGTAAAGATAGCTTGTTAACATAAAAGATAGTTTGTTAACGTAAAATATAGCTTGTTAACGTAAAATATAGCTTTCTAACGTAAAAGATAGCTTGTTCACGTAAAATATAGCTTTCTAACGTAAAGATAGCTTTCTAACGTAAAAGATAGCTTGTTAACGTAAAGATAGCTTGTTAACGTAAAGATAGCTTGTTAACGTAAAGATGGCCAGTGAATGTCATCCAATATTTTCATGTTATGAAATTCTAATGCTGGTAGGGTTGCACGATTGTGGCCAAAATGGTAATCACGATTATTTTTGATTATAATTGAGGTCAAGATTTTTTATCACCATTATTCATTGATTTTTTCTTTTTAGGTTTTTGTATTGTACCTTCACATTTAAATAAACAGAGCACTGCTTTCACTTCCATATTTTGATTATATGTTAAGATGTTCACCATACTATTCTGTTGCAGCTGTTTATATTCCTTCTGCGCATCACTAATGTGGGTTAATGAGACGGGGTCAGTACCTTCTCATCATACACGATGCCTGGTCGGATCTCAGGAGCCTGGTAACCTGGTGTGCCCTCCACACCCAACGCCCCCTCATGGAAGGTTTGTCGAGAGATGCCGTAGTCAGACAGCTTAATGTTAACTGGATCCTGCACCTGGAAAATGATACACAAATGAGTGAACAGGTAAGATAATACAAGTATGTCTTCAGTAGTTCAGTGGACTGTGAAAACAGCAGCGACAACACAGGAAATAAGTTCAGGACTTTATTGTCCTACCACTGATAAAGTCTGATATGTTGATGTTATTTCATAAATACAATAGTCAATAAACCATGCATGTATGCTGTTATGGTAATCCATATACAGACCTCCAGAGACCACACCAGGATGTTGTCAGATTTGAGGTCACAGAAGATAATGCTCTTCCTGTGAAGGTACGCCAGTCCTGCTGCAATCTGATAGGCTACTCGGAAAGTTAGCATGTGACCAAGGGGCATGTACCTGGAGCCTACGATGAGAAAACATAGAAACCGGCTTTAGGACCAACTTCAGGTCAGAAGTGACAATGCAGAAATCTCTACGTGCCTTTGCGCTTCTCCTCCAGCACAATGTTGAGGCTGCCCAGGGGGGCCAACTGCAGGGCAAGGCAGAGTGGATGGATGCTGATGCCCACCAGGGAGACGATGCAGGGATGCTGCAGAGAGTGCAACATACTGGCCTCCTGGCGAAACTCAGAGAAGCTCCGACAGGCATCTGCAGACTGCAGGTGTTTCACCATGGTGTCTGAGGCAAGAAAGAACGGAACGAGGGAGAGAACCAAAGTTTGCAAAAGGGATACTTTCAACGCAGAGAATAGATTTGTGCCCGAATGGCTGCTCCAGGAGCTCATATGGAATCAGTTCCAACTGCAAAGGGTCTACAGGCTTTATTCCATCTGTGTCCTCCTCTTACTCTCTATAACTATGGTGTTCAACACGTCTTTTTGTAAATATGAGGTGGGACAAGTGGGACAAAATAATCTTAACAAATCAGATGCCACAGAGCATCTTTGAAGAGAGACCAGAGTTACCATCCTACCCACCTCTTATCAAACCTTGACTGATGTGCCACATTTAGGTCATGTGACATTTCCATTAGCTGATGGGGGGCAGTTACAGCATTCCACTGGATACTACAGTGTGTGAATATGAATAATAGTTTAGCTGCCCCTTTGATTGACTCTGAGGTCAGACGGTGACAAAAGAATGCTATTCTATAACGTTAATTATCAGTACAGAATATTCAGGTAGCAGCTCCTCACTTTCTGCCAGTGTTAACTTTCCCTAGTTAAAGTGACAAACGTCGCCAACAGCAGATCATCTCAGCTGTCACTTATTCATGGTAATTCAGTGAGAAACTGATAACAGGTCAATTGTTTTCTGGGTAAAGTGTTCACTGCCAGCCGGTGTCTGTACTCAGCTCAGTTAGTCTTTCCTTCGTATCATATCAATATTCAGAGCCAGATAAACTAGATGGGGACATCCCTGGTAAGTAATGTCAACATAGGTAGTGTTAAAAGTTAAAGTGGCCGTGTAATACTGGCTTTCACTGCACAGTTAATATAAAAGCTGCTTCAGTACCTGTGTCACTGCTGATGGTCTGCTGTCGACACTTCTTGAAGCGGAAGCGTTTGACGGCCACCGGCTGGTTACGATATCGGGCTCTGTAGATGATTGTCCCACTGCCACCCTGACCAAGGATGTTATTCTCCTCCTCAGAGTACTCCAGCTGGGCCCTGTCTAAAAACAGCCTAACACACACGCACGCACACAGCAACGATTAGACAGGTTGGAAAGAAACCTCCAGGTTAGCCACACTTAATTAGAAGAGAACACAAACTGAACAGTAAAATTGTTTGAGTTAGCATTCATCACACTTTATAGTCTCACTTCCTGCTTCAACTCTGTTCGAGCGCTGCTCTTACTGCAGTTGTGTGCACACTCTGTTCTTGTTCGATGAGGGAATATTAGCAAAGTTTCAGGTATGCTCACTTTCAGTTTGATTTCCAAATAAAGTGGTTTAGTTAATCTGGATAAACTGACCAACAACCAACAGCCTATCCCATATAGAGGGTCAGCTTCAGCTTGTTCAAATCCAGCTGCTTCATCCTGAAAAAGACATCTCACCAGTCCTCAGGTCCCTGAACTGGCTTCCAGTGTGTTAAAGAGTAGAGATTAAAGTACTACTGCCATGCCCTCAATGGTTTGGGACAGTTGACAAAGTCCACACTATAAATGGAGAAGTAGCATTTAGGTTCTCTGTGCCAGAGAGCTGGAACAAACGTCCAGAAGATAGAAGATTTGTCCCGACTTTGACTCCCAGATGAAAGGCCTTTATGTTCTCCACGGCCTTTGATTGAATGTGTCAGACTGTATTGTGTGTTTATTTTGAATGCATCACGTAAAGCACTTGACCTGCTGTTGGTCTGAAAAACTTCTTTTCTGGATCACACTTAGAAGAACCTCAGTTAACATCCTCAAAGTTGACACAAAACAATGTACACAAATCTATCTTGGGAAACAGTGACTTCTTGGAATGTATTGGCAAAGGGTCGAATTAAAATATTTTGATAATTGCCACAAAACAGTTGTATCGACAGCTGTACTTCAAAAACATCAGTATTGTAAAGTAAAGCCAATATTGGCAGAGGCTAATATAGACTGGTCTCACACTAAAGTGTGCTTATACTAGTATCCAGCTGTAAAAGTGGATGATGTTAGATGGTGGCATTCGTGTTTATACCAACATCCGTCTAACATTCTTTAAGAGCTCCATTACAACTTTACTAATATTTGGAGTGGCTGTTTAACTGTTTCCATGGGTCTGTGCTACTTTAAAAAAACAGAGATATTCTTGCCAAGTGACTGCCCACCCACACACAAGTGTGTATATGTGTGCAAATGTGTAGGACAAAGACATATATGAATATTTATTCCAAAAGTCTAGTGTCTGTGACAATCCTCCACAGACATGAGCATAATAAGCCCTCTCACCCTCAAACTCGCCTCAGTCACACCCATCCTCAAAAAGTCTGGCCTTGACCCCGACATCCACAACTACAGACCCATCTCCAACCTCCCTTTTCTGTCTGAAATTCAGGAACGCACTGTTGCCCACCACCTAAAAACCCACTCGACTCAAACCAACTGTATGAACCATTTCAATCTGGATTCAGATCTCATCACAGCACAGAAAGTGCCCTCATCAAAGTCACCAACAACCTCCTCCTCACCTTTGATGACCACTCCCTCAACATCCTGATACTGCTCGACCTCAGCACAGCCTTCGACACCATCAACCACTCCATCCTCCTTTCCCGTCTCGAGTCCTCCCTCCACATCACTGGCACAGCCCTCTCCTGGTTCAGATCATACCTCTCCGACCGTGAACAGTTCATTAGTATCAACAAATTCAAGTCTGACACAGCCCCAGTCTCTCAAGGTGTCCCCCAAGGTTCAGTACTCGGTCCCCTCCTCTTCATCCTCTACCTGCTCCCCCTTGGCGACATCATACGACACCATGGTCTCCACTTCCACTGCTATGCTGACGACACCCAACTCTACATCTCCACCATATCCATCACCCGCACCACCCACTCCACCATCACAGATATAAAAACCTGGATGCTACAAAAGTCAACTTTCTCAAACTCAACAGCGACAAATCTGAAATGCTCATCATCGGCCCCAAATCACTATACAAATCCCACCATAACTTCTCCCTCTGCATCGATGGCACCACTGTTCCTGCTTCCACACATGTCCGTCACCTTGGAATCATTTTTGATCAAACTCTCTCCTTCGAACGCCACGTCAATCACATCACAAAAACATCGCCCGTCTCCGCCCCTCCCTCTCCTCCGCAGCCGCTGAAACACTCATCCATGCCTTCATCACCTCTCGACTGGACTACTGCAACAGCATCCTGTACGGCTCATCCACCAAAATCATCAACAAACTACAATACATCCAGAACTCAGCTGCCCGTCTGCTCTCCCACTCCAGAGATCTCATCACCCCAGTCCTTCAGAACCTCCACTGGCTCCCCATACAGCAAAGAATCCAGTTCAAGTTCTACTCATCACATACAAAGCCCTTCATAACCTCGCCCCTTCATACCTTTAGACCTCCTGCATTGACACGCTCCCAACCGCAACCTCAGATCCGCCAACCTCCTTACCCCCCCCAACTCTGTCCAAGCATCGGACCTGGGGGCAGCATCGGGCCTTCTCCATTGCTGCCCCCTCCCTCTGGAACTCCCTCCCCCAGCACCTCAGACATTCTCCATCACTCGCCACTTTCAAAACTGCACTTAAAACTCATCTATTTAAATCTGCTTTTAAACTCTGAAGCTATTTTGTTCTTATTGTAATTACTTCTATTGTTTCTGTTTTTACCATGTAAAGTGTCTTTGAGTACCTTTTAAAGCGCTATATAAATAAAATGTATTATTACTATTATTATAATAATAACTATATACACTAATATAACACTAATATATATTTGTCCTCATCTTTAATTGATCAGAATCCTATCAGTGTGTATCTAACATTGATTCCAGCACTGAGCCTGGTCTCCACCAGCAGTGGAGTGAAGGTCTGATGTATTCAGCTACAGTACAGCTGTGCACTCACATGAGCTTTGACAACACTCAATCAATGTAGTTACATTTTCCATAAGTGGGAGCCTTGAAGCCCTGACTCCTAACAAGTTGCAGGTAAATGTATAAAGAATGAGCTGTTACTCGTGTGTGTAGACAGCTGTATAAAAACATGTCAGACAGGTGTGAAGCGTGAATGAAACATGCCCATTGTAATGACTAGATCACTATGTACAATGAAATGATCCATTAAATGGTTCGAGGTTACCGTGCAGGGAAGTCGGTCATGAACAGCTCTGGGACCAGCTCCTGGAGGGTGACGGGCTGGTCAGGGTGCCGAGGACACATGATGTGATCCTCCTCCACTGCAGCCAGCACACAGTCCTCCATGTCAAAGTAATGAATCCTGTCTCCTCCACCTGCTCCTTTCTCTCCGACCTGGCCGACCAGGCCGGCTACGAGCTCGGTCTGCTTCTGTTGGCTCAGTGAGGCACAGAGGGGACAGGGGGCGTACTGCTCTATGAGGAGACTCCCATCACTCTCACTGGCTGTCAAAGCTACAAGGGAGGACACATAGATACAAGACATGTACATCATCTGTTGTTTATTGGAGAGCTGAAAACATTCCTACATAATGGTACATAGAGTCGGGGCAGTCCTAGATTTTAAGATTACTACTATAATGACTTTTTCAGGTTATAATAACAGCTACATTTGTTACAAGTCATCTTTGCTTTTACAACATTATAGAAAGCAGACACTGCAGCAGGTTCTGACCATGAACTGGACCTGCAGCAGGGAACTTTATGTTTGCAGTGGGCAAGCTCGCTATCTGGATATCCAGGAAAAATACGGTTAAGGGTGGATGATGTATAGATGGTGATGAGGTCATGAAGGGCCTTGTTGCTGCTCATCTGAAGGTTGAACTGATCGCTATCAGACAGTGAATATTCTGGATAATTTCAGAGCGGTCACTTTTTTCACAGTTCACTTTTAAAGCTTGTTTGTCTGTGACTCCGTTTATTTCCTTCCTCTGACACAGTGGTGAAGAACACCAGGAGCAAATACCAGTTCATGTAAATAAAAAACAAATCATGACTGCGGTGTTACCTGCATGTCAAAGTAATAAGAGCACACAGCCAAACTGTCTCCTGAATAAAGTTTCCTTATGACAGGTTGCTGACAAGCAATGTAGCTTTTAAAAGTGATTTTTTAAAAACAGAGTCTTGCTCACTCCACATAAAATGCTCATTACTTCCAGCAAACTTCATGGAGAACAATGAGGGCAAAACGGCATCACTGATCTGTTTTAATCGAATATTCTCCGGTCTAGCTCCGCCAAAAACAACATTGTCTTCAACTTGTTCTTCTATTTTGTTCAACTGACGCTAGCAGTTTACATAACAGCCACTCGACTGTCATTACAGACATGTGAACTAAACACAGACACTTGCATCGTTCATGGACTCACAGCGGTAAATATAATTAAAATTAAAGCTGCGAGCAGCGATGAACGGGCCCTCGCACCTTCCCGCGTCTCGGGGGTACTGGCGGGACGCCGGCAGAAGCGGCCATAAATATCTGCGACCATCAGACAGCGTGCCCACAAGTTAGACATATTTTTTTAATGCTTGGACTGTGTGACGCTGGAAATTATGTAGTGCAAATATTCCACCAGTTCCTGTATCCACTTTGTGGCGCTAGAGAACACGTGCAAACATGCATTGTGTTGCTCTACATCAAGTATAGACCACATCATGTAAATGTCATATAAATCTGATTCAGTTTGTCACATAACGCTGTCTCCATGTTGCCAGTAGGTGGCGCTATGACTTTGAGTGAAAATTGGCTTGTAGACATCCTCAGGCCATGACTGTTATCAAATATGGCAAGTTTGGGACATATTTGAGCAAGTCCAGTGGAGTTACATCAGCTTGTTGTTTAATAGCGAATCACCTACAATGGCCGCCACGTCACGGCTACGCCATTCTATCAAACGTAAAGCTTTGAGTAACTTTTAATAGCAAGGGTCTTTAGATTATACTGACCAAATTTGAAAAGGATCTGACAAAGTCTCTAGGAGGAGTTCGTTAAAGTATAGCGACTAGAAATCATGGGAATATTCACACAAAAATCAAAATGGCCGACTTCCCGTTAATTTTAGAGCATGGTCCCAAGACACTTTTTTTTTTAAGTCTTCATGTGATACATGTGCCTACCAAATTTCATACATGTAGGTCAAACGTAGTGGTGGGGCTGCGATTTTGAATATTTTTAGGGGGCGCTATCGAGGCAATTTGAAAGGGTCAAGCCAAAAAGCCATATGAAAGATTTATTTCCATCACCTATGACACCTGTGCAAAGTTCCAAGGCTTGTTGAGCATCCTAAGTCACAGAAAAATAAGCTTCATTTTTCATGGCGAATGACGCGTTGCCACGGCAACAGCGTTTAACGACAACTCACAATATTCATGATGAAGCATTATCAATGTCTTACGGCTTAGCTTACCAAATTTGAGACTGATCTGGGCAACTTCCTAGTCGGAGTACATCAAAGTATAAAACTTGTCATTTCCTTTTGCCAGTAGGTGGCGCTGACTTTGTGAAAATGTTGCCATGGAAATGTGCTCAGGCCTGGACCAGCATCATGCATAACAATTTTGGGGCAGATTGAATAAAGTACCTTGGAGTTACAACAACTTCCTCTTTCATGGCGAACAGCACGAAATGTGCGTGACATGGACGCCACATAAAACGAAGGTCGTTCAATGTCAGTAGACCATTTTAGTAACTTTTCATCATTAATGTCTTTAGATCATCTTGACCAAATTTGAAGTTGATCATATAAATTCTGTGGGAGGAGTTCGTTAAAGTACAATGCCTGAAAACGATGAAAAGTGCCTAAAAATACAAAGAAATGGGAGTATTACTGCATCGCCCCCTAGTGGTTGTATGGAATGAAAATTTGAGTGAATATAACAGGACACAATGTGAACATATGCGACAGATTTCGTGAGGATAGGCCACATGGTTTTGAAGTTATATATATATATATATTGCTGTAGAAGGCCACGCCCCTATGAAATTCATTGGTCCATATATTCTTAATGCAATAAGATATCAACAAGATTTTCATAATTTTTGATGATATCGATCCAATAATGATTCACATGAAATTTGGTACCAATCAGACCCAGGGTCTAGGAGAAGTGAATTTATTTATTTTTTTTACAAAATTCAAAATGGCGGAAAATGTTGGTAGGCGGAGCTTAGAATCCCAAGAGGATTTTTTGTAGAACTCATTCAGTTGCTCATGTCCGTAAAATTTTAAGTCATTTGGACATACGGGCTTGCATTTCCAACTTCTAGGGGGCGCTAGCGAGCAATTTTGTCATGCTCGAGCATGGGACCCATAAAATATCAAATTTTCCCGCAATCCTGATATGCTTGCCAAATATGGGGATGTTGGGGACATGATAAAGCCCCCAAAATGGCGTTTCATTCGAGAGAAAAAGAATAAGAATAATAATAATAATAATAATAATAATTCCTACAGTTTCAATAGGGACCTCGCGGCCCGACGTTATCGGTGCTCGGGCCCTAATTAAAGCTGCGAGCAGCATTGATCGGGCCCTCGCAACTTCATGCACGTCGAGGCTACTGGCAGGACTCTGGCCATGCATTTCTGTGACCATCACACTCTGCGTGCACGAGTGAGATATTTCCTGCGTAGACCAGCAGCGTAGCAAGATCATGTTGCCAGGTCTTAAGCCTAAAATGCTTTGAGTGTACCTCCGATACAATCATAAATGTAAGCCTTTAAAGATCATTAAGAAAATGAATGCGCTTCAGTGTTGGTAACATAACAGACTGTCAGTTTACTGGGATGGGGTTCAACTCCCTGCAGTGTCCTGCTGATTGTATTTGGACTTACATGAAAGTTAACAAAACAGTAGTGCCATTTGCTGTTACTTGAACACTTTAATTTAACACTGTTTTCATTTTAAGTTCTTCTGTAACTTTAAGTTCAGTGTTTGGGCCGCTGTAATTACAGAATCCTGCTTACGTCCGTGCTTATCAGTAGGTGGCGCTATGACTATGAGTTAATATTGGCATGCAGAAGTCCTAAAATCATGACCGTAATCAAGCATGTCAAGTTTGGGAGAGTTTTGACAAAGTACAGTCGAGTTACAACAGCTTGATGGATGATGGTGAACCATGTAAAATGGCTGCCACACCACGTCCATGTTGTTCAATGAAACCTCAAGCTTTTAGTAACTTTTAATCGCTAAGGTCTTTAGATTGTTCTGACCAAATTCTAAGCTGATTGGATTAATTCCCTAGGAGGAGTTCGTAGTACAGCACCTGGAAATGGAAAAAAAACCACGAGAAATTCATACAAAATTCAAAATGGCTGACTTCCGGTTGGGTTTAGAGCATGGTCCCAAGAGACTTTATTTTAAGTCCACATGTGATACATGTGCCTACCAAATTTTGTAAATCTATGTGAAACGTACTGCGAGGGCTGCTTCGTCGAAATTTTGTAGGGGGCCAATTTGCCACTCTGAACCAATAAAATCATATTCCATAACTAAATTTTGGGCTTGTAATCTGCTTGCCAAGTTTGTTTATGTTTCGAGCATTTTTAGCCTCTCAAAATGACCTTCGTTGTTAACGGCGAAGAATGCATCGCCACGGCAACGGCAACATCAAAAGCTTCATGAACTGGTATTATGAACTTCTTACATTTGTGTGGAAGTAATTTGATGTTGATTTGATTTACCTACTAAGAGAAACAAGCCAAAGTATAATGACTTTAACTTCCTGTTACCAGTAGGTGGCGCTATGACTATGATTCAAAATTGGCCTGCAGAGGTCTTCAGGCCGGGAGTCTAATCAAACATGTGCAATCTGGTAAAGATCTGATGATGTGGAGTCGAGTTACATCAGTTTGTTCGTTCATGGCAAAGGATCGAAATTCGCCGAGCCGCCACGTCGCCGCCCTTCAACAACTTCTTACAATTTTCACAATGAAGCATTATCAAGGTCTTAAGGCTTTTCTGACAACATTTTAGAGGGATTTGATTAATCTGTGAGGAGCAGGATGTCAAAGTACAAAACTTACAACTTCCAGTTGCCACTAGGTGGCGCTATTACTATGATTCTAAATTATCATATAGATGTGTTCCGGGTCAGGATGTTATGACATATGAGAGATTTGGAGCAGATTAGACAATGTATGGCCGAGTTACAACAACTTCCTGTTTCGCGGCGAATGGTGTTGTTTTGACGCCGCGCCACGGACACATAGTTCGATAACTTTTTGATCTTTGAGTAACTTTTCACTGCCAAGGTCTCAAGAGCATACTGACCGAATCTGAAGTTGATCGGGTCAAATCTCTGGGAGGAGTTCATTAAAGTATGACGCCTTGAAATGGTCAAAAAACGTCACAAAATTCAAAATGGCCAACTTCCTGTTTGGTTTAATGAAAAACTCCAAGAGGATTTTTTGTGCGTCTCATCACGTTCCACATACCTACCAAATTTCATACAGCTAGGTGAAACGCGATGTTGGGGCTACTCAATAGGGGGCGCTATCGAGCCAATATTTCATACCGCAGCTGGACACCCCAATCAGACTGCAATTTTCGCAAATTCTGGCTTGCGTGCCAAATTTCACAAAATTCCCAGTATCCCAAGCACCTGCTTTTTGCGATGAAAGTGGAAAAGTAATAATAATAATAATAATAATAATAATAATAATAAACATTAGAATAACAATAGGTCCTCCGCTCCGACTACGTCGGTGCTCGGGCCCTAATAATAAACAATCGAATAACAATAGGTCCTCCGCTCCGACTACGTCGGTGCTCGGGCCCTAATAATAATAATAATTCCTACAGTTTTAATAGGGACCTCGCGGCCCGACGTTGTCGGTGCTCAGGCCCTAATGTATTTTTCCATATGGCCACACACCTGATGGCTCACCGTCTTAAACATGCTACTTCACATCATCACTGAGGCCACTAGCAGAGGACAGTTATCAGCATAAGGGACGGCTTTGCAGGTTGATGTCATTCTGTTTAGCAGTGAGAAGCTAGCAGTGTGCTAGATGATGAAGCTGTTTCCATTGTGGAATCTCGCACAATGACAGTCAAAGTTAGAGATACATTATGCTATGCCACTCTACTACCTCATCTCAAGAACGTTCCACCTCCACAATCCACCGTGGAAGCCTTGATACCAACACTCAGGAGCTCAGAACTAAGGTTGGTCAAAGACCCGACCAAAGTTTAGATATGAGGCTGAGATAAGGACACTAATTGATGGTGGATGTGTGGTGAAACTTCTTCCTGAGCAGGTGAATGAGTCTAAAGAGTCCTGATTTATACAGCGTCACTTAGTCACGCTCAATGGAAAACACAGGCTGATTTTCAATTGCTCATGTAACCAATGTGGCCTCTCCCTCTATGATAAGCTTCTACCAGAACTCGGTCCGGTTCTTCTGCGGTTCAGGGAGTATCCAGTGGCAGTGAGTGGTTACACACGTGTTACAACAGGTCCTCTTCCTCCCAAAGGACCAAACCCTGGCGGAATTTGCAGAGAGAAAGAGAACCAGATGTGTACCAGTGGCAGTTTTTCAATCCGGCACGACCAGCAGTCCCAGCAGTGCAACGTTTGCACTTCAGAGACACGTGTAGAAATCAAAAAAGGAAAACTATGACACTGAAAGTCTTTGACGTAGTCCTTTTATGTTTTCTAACTGCCTTCAGAGTCCCCCTATAACACATTCAGCAAAGTTTCTGGTGGATAAAATGTACCAGGTACTAGCTGATGGAGGATTCGACATCCGGCAATAGGCCAGTAAAAAACCCATTTGCTATCTGGCCTTGAGCCTAATATGGCACTGGGATACAGATGAGTTTGGCTACAAGCTGAGACCGTGGGAGAGCCAACTTCCCACATTGAGGAACATCTACTGTGTGTTGACAATACAGTATGATTACCTGGGCCCGATAATCCCCTTCACTAGAGGAGCAAAGGTCATAATGCAAAACCTTAGGGCAAAGAAAAGAGGCTGGGATGACTCGAACCTTCCTCCCGATCGCCTTAACACCAAGATTAACTGGGAGATTGAGCAGCCACAGTTAGCCAAAGGTTCCATCCCAAGAACTTTCACACCAACTGAGATGTGTTAGAGCAAGCAAATGGCTCTGTAAAAACAGAATCTTGTTGATTGTTGAAGCCTTTATTGGGACTAAAGTTTCAGAGATCCAGGAACTCCCCAAAGACAAGGAATACAAATGTGTTGACTTCGCCAGCAAACCAGATGATTATTTCAATTCTTCTCACAGGTGACGCAGAAGGGGCCGAAGAGTATAAAGGGTGGACTTACACTGCACCTTCCAACAGCCTCAGCCATAGATGCCACACCATTTTCTAACTTGGCAAAGTTGCTCAGGACCATGCAGCAGCCTCTAGACAGGCCATCAGCCTCTAACCACACACATCAGCACAGTAACATCATCGATGATGCTTCGCTTCAACTACCGAGAGGATGCCAGAAGGAAAGTTTCCCAGAGGAGGTGAAAACTCTTGAATCTGATCATCAGGTGTAACCAAGCCGTAGACTAAGCTGTCTAGCACCAGAATGGGACAACAATCTCGTCTCATCCATGTTGCTGCTCCACACCAGTGCAGCAATTGCGGTCAGGTCAGCAGAAATCAAAGTAAATGGTAAATCAATTTTTCTAGACTTCTGACCACTCAAAGTGCTTTAACACTACATTTCATTCCCCCATTCTTTCACTGATGGCAGGGGCTACCAGGTGCCACCTGCCATCAGGACTCTAACCATTCATACCCATTCACACAGCCTATGGGGGCCACTTAGGGTTAAGTGTCTTGCCCAAGGACACATCAACATGGACTGGAGCTGGGGGTCGAACCGTCGACCCTCTAATTGAAGGACAAGCTTGCACTACCACTGAGCCACAGTCGAAAGGACATAACCTATGACTGCTACAACTGACAGCTATAACTGAGAACAGCATTTACAAAAGAAAGGAAGGCATTCATAGGAGTTGCTGTGCTTAATTCCCTCAGAAGTAGAAACAGCCTTCCAAAATCCAACTCCAAGTCGAAAAACGACTTTCCTTCCTCCGTGTCAACTCCTCTATCGGAGTCCCACTGTCCCCACCAAGTTTAAGTGTCATTCCTTCAATATAAGCACTGGCATGTGTCAGAAATTCCCTATAATGTCCAGGTAGAACAATGGAACTAATGAACCTACCCACTTCCTGTGAACCAGTATGCCCTTGAAGTTGACTGAATACTAGCTCCGACCTGCTGTTTGCCATTATGTTTTTGACTCAAGTCTTCTACATATTTATCTAAAATATCCACTATGAGCTCCAACTATAAAAGAAAATGTCAAGATGTCTGGCCACTCCCTCATTACACTGGATACTGTAGCATGGAAACTGTTCAGGGTCTAAAACAGTGTTTAACAGGGCTGAGCATCTTTGAAACTTTAATACTGGTGTCAATATGATACCCGACTTTTGGAACAGATTCCAAAATAACTTTGACTGCTTAATTTGCTGAATATGAATACCTTTGACATACCATTATCCTCCCTTTAATAAACGAGTCAAACTTTTAAAATCAGACAATTGACTATAAAAACAATTAAAGCCGTATAAGCATGCAAAGCAGCAGCTGTGATCTTGTCAATGGTGCATACTAACATGCACTAACAGCATGCATGGCCGACCCGGCTATGTCAACAAAGCAAAGATAACACCACACACAGGGAGAGTGATTTCCATCTCTGCTCAGGTAGACATTACTCCTCTAGATCTTTAGATAGCTAATAGCTGTGTGCTGCTATATTAATGCTCTGAATGTAGTATATTACTCTTTTATATAATCAAATCAAAGATAAAAAAAACTATGAATTAAATAAGGAAATATCTGCTCAAAGATAAAGAATCTGAGCCAGTATTGAGAGCTTAAAATCATGCACATAAGCAGAGAGCAGTGCACTAACCAGGGAACCACTGCTCAATCAGAGAGTTGACGTTGTCAGTGATGAAGGCCATGGCAGAGAAATCTCTCATATCTGACTGGCAGATAATCTTTATGCCTCCACTCTTCTTCCTCTTCCAGTTGACATCTGATGACTCCACGCTGCAGATGCACAAACACATGTCACAGGAGCTCTTATCTGCTTTCTGCACCTCTTAAAAAGTTTTTTACACAGAAGCTTATGTGGAGCAGAAAGAGCAGCAGGTACCTTTGATGCAGTTCAACATTCATTTTCTCTTCACTTTTATTAGTTGCATTTGAGATAGTCTACCCTCAGTGTTACAGTATGTTCTCATTCTGAACATCAGGCTTCATAATACTGCTGTCGTACATATAAAAGATGAGCAATTTTACAAAAATAAAAATCTTGTAGTATAAATGTAATATAATTCTTAGCATTGAAAGGATTTGGACTGCAGCTTGGAAATGGAGGTAAGGATATTGAATCTCAGCTGTCTGACAGTATCCCGTTTGGTGCAGATTCTGAACAAAGACAGCTTGTTGTTAATGTTCACGACCTTCGGAAAAAGACTGTATTCTGTCAGAAATCCCCTGTAATGTCCAGATTGAATTGTGGGTTTCTGTGACCCAGTGTGGCCTTGAAGTTGACTGAAAACTAGCTCCGACCTGCTCCTTTCTGAGAGTCTAAATCTAACTGAAGCTCCAAACCCTTACATTTCTCCCACTCTTTATTTCCTCACTGAATGATTTGTCTCTCTTCATTACAGCCTACAACCTTCTAGCCCAAGCTCTGACCTGAGGTAGCCTCCATCAAAAGTGGCCAGCAGCCCCTCCTTCCAGTATATGGTCTGGCTGCGTCGGACTCTGAAGGTGCTGCAACGGTTCCTCTGCTGGGTTCCAGTAAAGCTGTAGATCACAGAGTTTCTGCTGCGTTGGCTCCTGATGTTTCTTTTGTGCTCAAATGACTGCACGAACACAACATTTCAGGGCATGAATGTAAAAAGCTGAAGGTTTGAAGGTACAATAGGTGAATGATGAGAATCTGCTGGTTTTAGTACCTGCAGGTCCATCTCTGTGAGGCTGATGAGCATCCTGGCAATTAAGCGCTCCCAAAATCCGGCAGGAACAAAGCTCATCTGAACAAGGCGCTGCAGGGTGTTGTTGGTCTGCTGACGAAAGCCATGGATGTCCATGGCTGGCTTGGGGGGAAGGAGGTGGGGCAGCAGATAGCTATAGCAAGAGGTAAGAAAAAGGAAGAACTCATTTAAAACTAAACTCTAAAACGTCAAGATTTGAAGAACCTTTAGGTATGCCATGCTACTTGGCACTAGCGCTAGAATTTCTTTGTT